CAAGAATGAAGAGCAAATTTTGAAAATGGAAAAGGTCAAGTTTTTGCCAACCGGTTCGCGCTGGATTTCCATTGTTAAGAAGTCATGGCGCCATTTTTGTCCATTGTTGCTCGCGTTATGTAACTTTCTGATGAAATTTTTCATTTTTAATTTTTCCAAAGGCAAAATAGCCATTATATAATTTTCATAATCTTCATTATGTAACCCCAATGATCGCGGTTACATAATTTTCGTCCTTTTAAAATTTCATTTTTTCTGTATTTTTCTTTGCCACAGCTGGCGCATTTTTCTTGAAATGACTCTTTCAACCGGTTTTCTCACTATGTGACCCACCAATTGATAGAGTATTTCTAGGTTTCCAAAGCCGTTAAGCAAATCGTAGTCGTTCCAGGCGTTTAAATCGTTGTCCAAGTTGTAGTAGAAGTAGTAGTCGTTGTTGTCTCCACAATCGGCACGCTGTGTAGTTGCAATCTTCGTCTTTTGGTCAGAAAAACTAAAAAGGCAGCCGTAACGGGCTCGAAAGCTTTGATTACCATGTCGCGCTTAAATTCGCGGTTTGCCATATTGAGATATTCTGCTCCAGGCTACTTTGCGAAAAGCCACTTTCGTGGAAGCGAAGCATGTAAGGATGATAAGTCCCAACGTCGAAGAAAATCAAGGAAGAGAAGCAGCAGTCGTTCCTCAGCGGTTCGTAGAATTTTTTTTATAACAGAAAGAAAAGATTTTTTCAGAAATAATTGTCCTAAGAGCTTCTTATACTTTTATTTACAATCAACACTGTAAATAAAGGCATAGATATGTGTGATTCTAAGCGATTTAACAATCATCCTTTTCATGCAATGATTTATAGTTGTGATACACGCGTACGTGCAGTAACTCCCTAACCAATTATTATTTTTGAGAAAGCCCTTGAACCCTTAATTTTTCTCTGATTAAATTAACGAAAAAACTTTACCCACTTAGTTAAGGGCTCAAGGGAAAATCAATATGGCTCTTATTGATTTTTTTTCATGCACTACGGGCTTATTTGTGAGCAATATTTTTTTTCATTTTTTTTTGTTGTTTATTCAGAAGGTATCACCATGGCCACGCCAGGGTCTTAAATGAGCATCTTTTGCCTTCGAATATTTTTAGCCCGATATCGAGCTCAAGTGTCTGGATAAAAAACAAGTTCACCATTTTTTGTCGGATGATTTGGAAAGAAAGAAGAAAATTGAGCGATAATAAATTCACGAATGTTTGATTTTTTGTTAATAAACGTGTTTGGAATTTTTTCAAGAGAATAAAAGGAACAAAGACACTTGAGTTCGTATAAAGAAAACTGCGAAAGAGGTGTTTCTCTTTTTATTTGCAAAATAGCTAGAAAAAGCAACTCTCCCGAGCTTGATTTTTGCCAATTATTATGATTCTTGATGATCCAAAATTTCACTTTATTACCTAATTCTGATTTGTTATCTGTAGGAGAATGCGTTTCGCCAAAATCAGCGAGGATTGATATCAATGTTTCTTTTGGCAATTCGGACATTTTTAGAATGAAAGATAGAGTAAGAGCTATTAAAAATCTTATCCTTCCTACTTCAAAAGCCGAAGCTCAGTCAGTTTTCGGAGCCTTGAATTTTCACCGGAAATATATTGCAAATTTCGCGTCAATTGCAAAACCTATAACAGAAACATATCGAGGTAATTTTAAGTGGACCCAAGAAGCATCAGACGCTTTTAATTTTCTTAAAAATTTGATCTCGGAAAAAGCGCTTGAATTATTTATACCGCCGGTTTCTGGTGGAAAATTTGTGGTGGAGTGTGATGCAAGCGACCGGAGTTTTGGAGGAGTTCTATATTTGTGCTCGGAAAAGATTTTTTCAGAAAACCATGTTCATAATTCCGGTTGTTTACGGCCATGCGCATATCACAGCGGTAATTTTTCTGACACGCAGATCAAGTATACGATTTTCGAAAAAGAAATTTTGGCCTCTAGAATTTGTATTAATAAGTGGAGCGTTTACCTTAAATACACCAAATTTGATTTAATAACAGACAATGGAAATATGAAATATTTAAATTCGCTAAAAACAAATAATTCAAGAATTCAAAGATGAATAGCTGAGCTTATGACATTCGATTATAAAATTCTTCAGAAACCATCAAGCGCTCTTAAGATTTCAGATTATCTATCAAGATACCCCGGGAAAACAGAAAAAACCACAATATCTCTCCTTAAAATCGATCCAAAAAATTTTATCGAGCTTCAAAAATTGGACCCAATTTTACGGCTTATAAGGGAATACGTCAAAATCGACAGATGGCCGAATAATCCGACAGAAAAGATTTCATATTATCTATTGCACCGGAAAAAATTATGTTTTCTTGAATCAGGGGAGCTCATTTTGAGAGAAGGAAATCTGGACAAATTTTGCGTACCAGAAGTTTTGCGTTCCGATCTTATGCATGAATATCATAAAGGTGGTCATTCTGGAATAGAAATAACATTTTCAAAATTAAATCAGAAATATTTTTGGGAAAAAATGCGCCAAGATGTAATCGAGTTTATCAGATCATGCAAATACTGTCAATTGAGTAAACCAAATTGTAATCCAAATAGAGCCGCCCCAAAAACATTTCCATCTCCAACAGGGCCTTATCAACAAATGGGTTTTGATATGATCGGTCCTCTCCGGCCGACGGACAGTGGAAATATTTACATTTTCACCGCTATTGATTTTTTTAGTAAAAAAGCGTATGGATTGCCATTAAATTCCAAAAAAATCAGAATACCTTCTCAATAAATTTAAGTCTATTCTCTTTTCGAACCCAATTTTTCCAAAATTGTTAATTTTCGATAACGCTCCTGAATTTTCCAAAATTCGTGAATTTTGTGCGGAAAATAACATCGAGCTAAAAACAAGCCCACCAAGACATCCAGCAACTAATGGCAGTGTCGAGAATTTCAATCGAACGCTAAAGAGCCGGCTCAAAGCCCGATGTCAGTTTATCAATTGGGATCATTGTCTTTCTGAAACCCTTCATGAAATTAATAGTTCAAAGCATTCAGTCACAAAATTTTCTCCATTTTCAATAGAAACAGGGATTGAGGTTCCACATTTTTTGAATGACCCAAACTGGAGAGAGTATAGGGATAAAATTGATATTGATTTTCAAGCCATAAAAGATAATATCGACGAAGAAAAATCTCGGAGATGTGCAAGACTAAAAAATGATAAATTCCAAGAATACGCCCTGAATGAAAAAGTCTTGATAAGAAATTTTCGATCAAACAATCCTCCATTTATTGGCCCTTACATAATTGTCAATAAAACGCCCACTGTGTATTCTTGTCGAGATCTAGAGACGGGCAAAATTCTTGTTCGCCATGCAAACGATTTAAGGAAATTTTACGAGCGCAAAGATTCAATTCCCTTAAATTTCAATCATGATAGTGAGAAGAAAACAAGAGACTGTCTCGATAATAAAAATTCGATTAATGAGCTAACATATGTTGAGTTTTTCTCCATCACGGCAGAACATCAATCGCAATTTGAATTTCCGAAAAATTCTATGTCGGACTCGGAATCATCAACAACAGAATCAAGCTCTGATAGTTTAGACATCGAGGAATTCAAAAACACGCTCATTTTAAAGGATTACGAAAATCTAATAAACTTAAATATAATTGAGATTTTTAAAGAGGCTTATCTCGAGGTGAAGGAAATCTCACAAAGTAATCAGGGGGATATTCAAAATGTTAGTGAGGTCAATGAGAGAGATGACATTTTTGAGGAAACTTCATTAGAGGATCTCGATATCGTAGCGGGTTCGTCAGCAATTTTACCTTCTAGAAATCAAACTGTTCGTCAGATTGAATTTTCGGGCGACTTAACATCATATGACAAACTTGATATAAGTGCAAATAGAAACGCCAAACGCGCAAGGGGAAGCTCTGGAGAATTGTCGGATAACCAAGTTTCTAAAAAGCCTTTTCTCATTCAAAACCAGTCAATGCCCCGAGTCAAACAGTAAAAATTCGACAACAAATTGATAAAACTATTTTGATGGACTCAGAAATAACGCAAAGCTCTGTTCGACTTCCAAAAACAAGAACAAACGAATTAATGAATGAAGCAGAAATGCTTGATTTTGAAGGTTGCCAGATTGGTATTATTTTGGAAAACAAAAACGAGAATTTTTTAACGAAGTAAGGCAGGGATTACATGATGAATCTAGGACAAGGGATTAGCAGCCCGCTAGAAATAGAACGCGGCAGGAAGCCTAGTAACCAGAGGCAGGGATTCCCAGGAGGCAGCGGAAGGTGTCAAAGGCGCCCGAGAGCACCTGGTTTCGAGCGGGTGCCCCGGAATCACGCAGGTTCATTCGAAAGGTTCTTAGCCTACAGCTAAAACCTAAAACGAGGAATTTTAAATAGAGCCTTTTTCTCAGCAGAAGCATTACCAATAAGACTCCAAGCTGAATCAAAAGACTCTAGGTAGACCATCAATCGATGCTACCTGCTTATTTCACCTCTAAAAGTCCACGGACTATAAAATCATTCAGCCTCAGGCAATTACGCCTCGAAGGCTCTGGGATTCTTACTCAGTAAGCGGCCGCAGCGGCGCGCCGAGCCGAGCCAATCAGCTTCAGGCTTCTTAGATTCAGAGAAACCCTCTTCTTAGAAATTCGGAATTCCTGTTTCTTCCTCGAAGCCCTAGACTTGCTGACCCTCTCATTTAGACATGATCGAGGAGGCCTTCGTCAAGGCAGCTCTGGAATTCGGCCCCAAATGGGGAGTGGCTTTGGACTCGGATCCAACACGCCCAATCGAGAACTCCCAAAGAAGACTCCAAACCCTCAATGAGGAAATCTCCAGGAAAGGATCTCTTCTCCTCAGAATCTTTTAGGAACGGGCTACCCCGAACACCTTCCAAATTTAGGATAGGCTTTGATCCACTTAAAGAAACACTCTGCTCTTAATGAGTCAGATAAATTGGAGAAGAATTTCCCGCACTGCAATGGCGGAGCAAAAGATTGCCACGAGACTCGTCAGACTTTATGTCCCCTCGGATGCAAACGAGCCTCTCTCGAATCACAGGCTGATGTTCGATCTGCAGACTCCTTCAAAAGCGAGATTCAATTTCGCAGAGCTCTCCTCGTGGGCCCAGATCATTTTCACGGCGCCATCAGGAAAAGAATCACTCTGGGTCGCTCACAGGAGCAACGAGCCTGGTTTCATACTCTCCATCATCGCAGACGAAATTGCAGAAGCAGAAACCGACCTCGCGGATTCTTGGCAACTCGAATCAAAGCCATATCCATTTAAGCCAATGGAGAGCCCACGAAGCTTCTAAAAGCAGACTCAGCGGGCACGACTGAGGACCCAAGCGTCAAGCTGGACGAATGCGAAACCATCTCCAATCTACTCGAAGCCCTGAAAATAGAAAAAGGACCAATAAGAATCGTGGCCAGGAGGCTAGACTCTCAGCGTAACTCGGAATCCCAAAGCGCGATGGAGAAAAGCAGACTCTTTCCGAACAACATCTCGGAGGAGCTCAACAAATGGGCGAAAATCAAGAGCCAAGACTGGTTCCGCGAGTGGGAAGACCTAGAAAATCAAGATATCCTGAACGAGGGATTCTGGCATTTCGTTTGCCTCCGAGTAATCGGTGAGAGCAAAATCAAGACCCAGGCGAATTACGAACGCCCAAGCTTCACGGACGACAATTGGCTCCGAAGACTCATAAAGAAAGGTCTTGAAACGATTTTCGACGCAATGCCAAGGTCAGACGCTTTTATTACGCCAGAAGAACTACTGGACTCGCTCAAGATGCTGAAGTCTCTCCACAGCGACTGGCATGAGATTTGCCATCAGAAAAATGCCTGGCTAGAACTCAAAGCAAACGAGGATACCCAATGGGCGAACAAAAAACCGGCGAATGTGAACGCATGGATCATCGACATAATCGGCGAATATGCATCGGAAGACTCACCCATTCCGAATCCGACTCCCTTAACAAAGATTCTCTCACCACTGCTGCTCCACCTGGTGCAAAAACAGCTCATCCAAGACTCAGTCATTGGTCAAGACGGAAGCTGCAAGGAAATGCCCACCCAATGGCACGTGGACTGGAGCGAACTCAAGGATTCCCGGTCCCTCAAAAAGTGGCTGGAGTCAGCGGCGAAAAAAGTTAACCCGATTAATACCACGGTTAGAGTCAAAGAAGTTGGAAAAGGGGATTCCCACTGGATCCTGTGGATTCCTTACAAAGTCGTACCTCAAATATGGGTTTTCAACTACGGCGAGGACTCTGATTTTATCAAAGCGAAATCCCTCCTCTCCCTTGCAGCCCACCCAGCGCTCACGCCGTTAGAATCAGAGGCGCTCGAGAAGCTAGCCTCCAAACCTTGGACCACCCAAAACGTCAAAGAATGCATCTCGGCGTTCCAGAAGCCAACAAGAAACTTCTACGCCTCAGGAGCCTGCTTAGTCGGAGTCAACCGCCCCTTTCGAACTCAGAAGATCATCCTGGAAATCATCGCCAAGGTTGTAAGAGACACAAAAGCCCATTCTCACTTGCGCTCACTCGAGCATAACCTCGGAATCTTATCAACTGGCTGGAACTGGGCAAATGGCAAAAGATTCAGCCCAAACAAGACTCTGGACAACTTCATCGACACCTGGATGCAGAAAAGAGAAGAAGTCACGGGAGTCACGAGACTCAGATTCCTTCGAGAACAACCAGAAAAGAGAGAAAGATCGTGCGAATGGCCAATGTGTGGGAAGCGGAAGCGAGCACGACTTGGTGTAAAACACATCAAGGATTCCAAGAACTCAAAGAATCTCGCCAACCAGACTGCTCAGAGAAATGCCGAGTCGCAAACGGCTTCATACAGAAAGGACTCCCCAGGGCACAAAAATGTCCATTGACAGCGAGGAATGGCAAGAAACCTTCTACAAACTCTCCGAATCTTTCAAAACGACTATGCTAAAGGACGCTGGCGAAGACCTCATCCAGAGAATCCAGACCAGCGTAGTCGAAGGATTCGACTCTATCGTAAACGCTTGGAAATCCACGGCAATCCTTTTTCAGGGAGAAAACGACACAGCAGCGAACCTCAGCGAAAGCCTCCGAAAGTTCGGAAGAGTCTTAAAAAGACCACGATTCGAGAATCCGGGAGCAGCTGGAATAGTCATCTACCACGCAGGGCTAGAAAGATGCGGAGGAAAATTCGACGCTTTCGTAGTTGGAAACACCTCAACCAGAAAGAATCAACATCTCCCGAGACTGGCGGATTCTATCTCCAAAAATCTGGAGACAAATGGATGGAAGTGGCAAAAATTATCAGCGAACTCACATGCCAGAAAAACACAGTGCTGATTCTCCCTTCACAAAAGACGGCACCTTACGTTAAATTCGTCACCCAGGGCCCAACGAAGAATCTTCATCGAACACTCCAAGGGGACAAAAACCCAAGAATCTCGGGACTCTGGGAAATCTTCCAAATGGCCTGCGATGGGGACTACGAATCTGCATTTACCCCGTGTTGGGCACACCCCAGGGTGGCGGAAACCATGGTCAGATGCTGCAACGGCTTCGACGCTAAAAACCGAGCAGTCTCGAAAATAGACAAGCTCAAAATAAGAGCCAATCGAACAACCTGGGAGAATGTGACGGCCAAAACCCACATTCTAGCCCCAGACGCACCGTTCACGACCCACATCAGGGACATAATCCTCGACGGAATCAAGGCAGCGGAGAATCTTGACCTAGACCACGGAGAGGAAGCCAAAGTCGAGAATCTCTTCCCGAACGTCTGGTCTCAAGACCGCCAAAACATCGAAGAACGATTCGCTCGTCTGAATGTCGCTGAAGCCACGGGAAGCGACTAGAAAACGACTCCAAAAACTTCACCAAAATACAGTCAGGAAAAGGGCCCAAAAGAATCAGAAATTTCCAAAGAAAAAGTGAAAAAAAAGAGACTCGGAGCCCTCGAAAAGACTCAAAAATCGCCCAAAAACCCCCCTTTTCTGCCGCAAACAAGCTCAAGAATCTTCAACCTCAGGAAAAGACTCGCTAAATCTGATAAATTCTCACTCAAAAAGAATCTACTTCACTTTCAATTAGCAAAAATCACAGAAAAAGAGTCTTACGAGAGAAAAACACTTTTTCCTCGAATTGCGCACCACCTCCACCACCAATCTCCACAAAAAGATCCGAAAGAGCACAAGAATCAGGAAATGGTCTCAAGAATCTAAAGATTTGAATCAAAATAGCATAAAATCCAAATTGGAGACCGTGGGAAAGTTGCAAAGTTGACTCACGAAATAGAGCGCGCTGATTGGCGGAGCACCAAAACGAGCCAGGATAAGCCAGGGCTCAAGCGAAAAATTGCCTAAATCAGCTTCATTTCTTCTCCAACAAAAGAGAATCACCCAGAGCCCTTTATAAAGAGAAAAACCACTGGATTCCGCTAGAATCAGACGCGTCAAAACCAGAGAATCAAAAAAAGATTCTTCCCTTCCGGATCTTAATTTAGACTCTTTTTCTCGTGCTTCTTTTTAAAATTTCGCTCTTTCTTTTCAAATTTTCCTTGCGCTCCTCCAAACAAAACTAGCCAAAACCAAAATTTCGATTCTTTGCTAACAAAGGCGTTTCTTCAGACTCTAGAAATGACCCGAGACGCACAAGACGCACAGATTCACGACGCTGAAGAGCTCGAAAGACTCCGAGAGGAAGCCGGAATCACCAAAAACCCGATCGACGAGCCAGACTACTGGAGGAAGATCAAATCGGCGATCAAGATGGACCCGGTGACTCAGTTCCCGCAGGAATCGGTTGGTTTTGACGCGTCTGATTCTAGCGGAATCCAGTGGTTTTTCTCTTTATAAAGGGCTCTGGGTGATTCTCTTTTTGTTGGAGAAGAAATGAAGCTGATTTAGGCAATTTTTCGCTTGAGCCCTGGCTTATCCTGGCTCGTTTTGGTGCTCCGCCAATCAGCGCGCTCTATTTCGTGAGTCAACTTTGCAACTTTCCCACGGTCTCCAATTTGGATTTTATGCTATTTTGATTCAAATCTTTAGATTCTTGAGACCATTTCCTGATTCTTGTGCTCTTTCGGATCTTTTTGTGGAGATTGGTGGTGGAGGTGGTGCGCAATTCGAGGAAAAGTGTTTTCTCTCGTAAGACTCTTTTCTGTGATTTTTGCTAATTGAAAGTGAAGTAGATTCTTTTGAGTGAGAATTTATCAGATTTAGCGAGTCTTTTCCTGAGGTTGAAGATTCTTGAGCTTGTTTGCGGCAGAAAAGGGGGTTTTTGGGCGATTTTTGAGTCTTTTCGAGGGCTCCGAGTCTCTTTTTTCACTTTTTCTTTGGAAATTTCTGATTCTTTTGGGCCCTTTTCCTGACTGTATTTTGGTGAAGTTTTTGGAGTCGTTTTCTAGTCGCTTCCCGTGGCTTCAGCGACATTCAGACGAGCGAATCGTTCTTCGATGTTTTGGCGGTCTTGAGACCAGACGTTCGGGAAGAGATTCTCGACTTTGGCTTCCTCTCCGTGGTCTAGGTCAAGATTCTCCGCTGCCTTGATTCCGTCGAGGATTATGTCCCTGATGTGGGTCGTGAACGGTGCGTCTGGGGCTAGAATGTGGGTTTTGGCCGTCACATTCTCCCAGGTTGTTCGATTGGCTCTTATTTTGAGCTTGTCTATTTTCGAGACTGCTCGGTTTTTAGCGTCGAAGCCGTTGCAGCATCTGACCATGGTTTCCGCCACCCTGGGGTGTGCCCAACACGGGGTAAATGCAGATTCGTAGTCCCCATCGCAGGCCATTTGGAAGATTTCCCAGAGTCCCGAGATTCTTGGGTTTTTGTCCCCTTGGAGTGTTCGATGAAGATTCTTCGTTGGGCCCTGGGTGACGAATTTAACGTAAGGTGCCGTCTTTTTGTGAAGGGAGAATCAGCACTGTGTTTTTCTGGCATGTGAGTTCGCTGATAATTTTTGCCACTTCCATCCATTTGTCTCCAGATTTTTTGGAGATAGAATCCGCCAGTCTCGGGAGATGTTGATTCTTTCTGGTTGAGGTGTTTCCAACTACGAAAGCGTCGAATTTTCCTCCGCATCTTTCTAGCCCTGCGTGGTAGATGACTATTCCAGCTGCTCCCGGATTCTCGAATCGTGGTCTTTTTAAGACTCTTCCGAACTTTCGGAGGCTTTCGCTGAGGTTCGCTGCTGTGTCGTTTTCTCCCTGAAAAAGGATTGCCGTGGATTTCCAAGCGTTTACGATAGAGTCGAATCCTTCGACTACGCTGGTCTGGATTCTCTGGATGAGGTCTTCGCCAGCGTCCTTTAGCATAGTCGTTTTGAAAGATTCGGAGAGTTTGTAGAAGGTTTCTTGCCATTCCTCGCTGTCAATGGACATTTTTGTGCCCTGGGGAGTCCTTTCTGTATGAAGCCGTTTGCGACTCGGCATTTCTCTGAGCAGTCTGGTTGGCGAGATTCTTTGAGTTCTTGGAATCCTTGATGTGTTTTACACCAAGTCGTGCTCGCTTCCGCTTCCCCACACATTGGCCATTCGCACGATCTTTCTCTCTTTTCTGGTTGTTCTCGAAGGAATCTGAGTCTCGTGACTCCCGTGACTTCTTCTCTTTTCTGCATCCAGGTGTCGATGAAGTTGTCCAGAGTCTTGTTTGGGCTGAATCTTTTGCCATTTGCCCAGTTCCAGCCAGTTGATAAGATTCCGAGGTTATGCTCGAGTGAGCGCAAGTGAGAATGGGCTTTTGTGTCTCTTACAACCTTGGCGATGATTTCCAGGATGATCTTCTGAGTTCGAAAGGGGCGGTTGACTCCGACTAAGCAGGCTCCTGAGGCGTAGAAGTTTCTTGTTGGCTTCTGGAACGCCGAGATGCATTCTTTGACGTTTTGGGTGGTCCAAGGTTTGGAGGCTAGCTTCTCGAGCGCCTCTGATTCTAACGGCGTGAGCGCTGGGTGGGCTGCAAGGGAGAGGAGGGATTTCGCTTTGATAAAATCAGAGTCCTCGCCGTAGTTGAAAACCCATATTTGAGGTACGACTTTGTAAGGAATCCACAGGATCCAGTGGGAATCCCCTTTTCCAACTTCTTTGACTCTAACCGTGGTATTAATCGGGTTAACTTTTTCGCCGCTGACTCCAGCCACTTTTGAGGGACCGGGAATCCTTGAGTTCGCTCCAGTCCACGTGCCATTGGGTGGGCATTTCCTTGCAGCTTCCGTCTTGACCAATGACTGAGTCTTGGATGAGCTGTTTTTGCACCAGGTGGAGCAGCAGTGGTGAGAGAATCTTTGTTAAGGGAGTCGGATTCGGAATGGGTGAGTCTTCCGATGCATATTCGCCGATTATGTCGATGATCCATGCGTTCACATTCGCCGGTTTTTTGTTCGCCCATTGGGTATCCTCGTTTGCTTTGAGTTCTAGCCAGGCATTTTTCTGATGGCAAATCTCATGCCAGTCGCTGTGGAGAGACTTCAGCATCTTGAGCGAGTCCAGTAGTTCTTCTGGCGTAATAAAAGCGTCTGACCTTGGCATTGCGTCGAAAATCGTTTCAAGACCTTTCTTTATGAGTCTTCGGAGCCAATTGTCGTCCGTGAAGCTTGGGCGTTCGTAATTCGCCTGGGTCTTGATTTTGCTCTCACCGATTACTCGGAGGCAAACGAAATGCCAGAATCCCTCGTTCAGGATATCTTGATTTTCTAGGTCTTCCCACTCGCGGAACCAGTCTTGGCTCTTGATTTTCGCCCATTTGTTGAGCTCCTCCGAGATGTTGTTCGGAAAGAGTCTGCTTTTCTCCATCGCGCTTTGGGATTCCGAGTTACGCTGAGAGTCTAGCCTCCTGGCCACGATTCTTATTGGTCCTTTTTCTATTTTCAGGGCTTCGAGTAGATTGGAGATGGTTTCGCATTCGTCCAGCTTGACGCTTGGGTCCTCAGTCGTGCCCGCTGAGTCTGCTTTTAGAAGCTTCGTGGGCTCTCCATTGGCTTAAATGGATATGGCTTTGATTCGAGTTGCCAAGAATCCGCGAGGTCGGTTTCTGCTTCTGCAATTTCGTCTGCGATGATGGAGAGTATGAAACCAGGCTCGTTGCTCCTGTGAGCGACCCAGAGTGATTCTTTTCCTGATGGCGCCGTGAAAATGATCTGGGCCCACGAGGAGAGCTCTGCGAAATTGAATCTCGCTTTTGAAGGAGTCTGCAGATCGAACATCAGCCTGTGATTCGAGAGAGGCTCGTTTGCATCCGAGGGGACATAAAGTCTGACGAGTCTCGTGGCAATCTTTTGCTCCGCCATTGCAGTGCGGGAAATTCTTCTCCAATTTATCTGACTCATTAAGAGCAGAGTGTTTCTTTAAGTGGATCAAAGCCTATCCTAAATTTGGAAGGTGTTCGGGGTAGCCCGTTCCTAAAAGATTCTGAGGAGAAGAGATCCTTTCCTGGAGATTTCCTCATTGAGGGTTTGGAGTCTTCTTTGGGAGTTCTCGATTGGGCGTGTTGGATCCGAGTCCAAAGCCACTCCCCATTTGGGGCCGAATTCCAGAGCTGCCTTGACGAAGGCCTCCTCGATCATGTCTAAATGAGAGGGTCAGCAAGTCTAGGGCTTCGAGGAAGAAACAGGAATTCCGAATTTCTAAGAAGAGGGTTTCTCTGAATCTAAGAAGCCTGAAGCTGATTGGCTCGGCTCGGCGCGCCGCTGCGGCCGCTTACTGAGTAAGAATCCCAGAGCCTTCGAGGCGTAATTGCCTGAGGCTGAATGATTTTATAGTCCGTGGACTTTTAGAGGTGAAATAAGCAGGTAGCATCGATTGATGGTCTACCTAGAGTCTTTTGATTCAGCTTGGAGTCTTATTGGTAATGCTTCTGCTGAGAAAAAGGCTCTATTTAAAATTCCTCGTTTTAGGTTTTAGCTGTAGGCTAAGAACCTTTCGAATGAACCTGCGTGATTCCGGGGCACCCGCTCGAAACCAGGTGCTCTCGGGCGCCTTTGACACCTTCCGCTGCCTCCTGGGAATCCCTGCCTCTGGTTACTAGGCTTCCTGCCGCGTTCTATTTCTAGCGGGCTGCTAATCCCTTGTCCTAGATTCATCATGTAATCCCTGCCTTACTTCGTTAAAAAATTCTCGTTTTTGTTTTCCAAAATAATACCAATCTGGCAACCTTCAAAATCAAGCATTTCTGCTTCATTCATTAATTCGTTTGTTCTTGTTTTTGGAAGTCGAACAGAGCTTTGCGTTATTTCTGAGTCCATCAAAATAGTTTTATCAATTTGTTGTCGAATTTTTACTGTTTGACTCGGGGCATTGACTGGTTTTGAATGAGAAAAGGCTTTTTAGAAACTTGGTTATCCGACAATTCTCCAGAGCTTCCCCTTGCGCGTTTGGCGTTTCTATTTGCACTTATATCAAGTTTGTCATATGATGTTAAGTCGCCCGAAAATTCAATCTGACGAACAGTTTGATTTCTAGAAGGTAAAATTGCTGACGAACCCGCTACGATATCGAGATCCTCTAATGAAGTTTCCTCAAAAATGTCATCTCTCTCATTGACCTCACTAACATTTTGAATATCCCCTGATCACTTTGTGAGATTTCCTTCACCTCGAGATAAGCCTCTTTAAAAATCTCAATTATATTTAAGTTTATTAGATTTTCGTAATCCTTTAAAATGAGCGTGTTTTTGAATTCCTCGATGTCTAAACTATCAGAGCTTGATTCTGTTGTTGATGATTCCGAGTCCGACATAGAATTTTTCGGAAATTCAAATTGCGATTGATGTTCTGCCGTGATGGAGAAAAACTCAACATATGTTAGCTCATTAATCGAATTTTTATTATCGAGACAGTCTCTTGTTTTCTTCTCACTATCATGATTGAAATTTAAGGGAATTGAATCTTTGCGCTCGTAAAATTTCCTTAAATCGTTTGCATGGCGAACAAGAATTTTGCCCGTCTCTAGATCTCGACAAGAATACACAGTGGGCGTTTTATTGACAATTATGTAAGGGCCAATAAATGGAGGATTGTTTGATCGAAAATTTCTTATCAAGACTTTTTCATTCAGGGCGTATTCTTGGAATTTATCATTTTTTAGTCTTGCACATCTCCGAGATTTTTCTTCGTCGATATTATCTTTTATGGCTTGAAAATCAATATCAATTTTATCCCTATACTCTCTCCAGTTTGGGTCATTCAAAAAATGTGGAACCTCAATCCCTGTTTCGGGACTCTGGGAAATCTTCCAAATGGCCTGCGATGGGGACTACGAATCTGCATTTACCCCGTGTTGGGCACACCCCAGGGTGGCGGAAACCATGGTCAGATGCTGCAACGGCTTCGACGCTAAAAACCGAGCAGTCTCGAAAATAGACAAGCTCAAAATAAGAGCCAATCGAACAACCTGGGAGAATGTGACGGCCAAAACCCACATTCTAGCCCCAGACGCACCGTTCACGACCCACATCAGGGACATAATCCTCGACGGAATCAAGGCAGCGGAGAATCTTGACCTAGACCACGGAGAGGAAGCCAAAGTCGAGAATCTCTTCCCGAACGTCTGGTCTCAAGACCGCCAAAACATCGAAGAACGATTCGCTCGTCTGAATGTCGCTGAAGCCACGGGAAGCGACTAGAAAACGACTCCAAAAACTTCACCAAAATACAGTCAGGAAAAGGGCCCAAAAGAATCAGAAATTTCCAAAGAAAAAGTGAAAAAAGAGACTCGGAGCCCTCGAAAAGACTCAAAAATCGCCCAAAAACCCCCTTTTCTGCCGCAAACAAGCTCAAGAATCTTCAACCTCAGGAAAAGACTCGCTAAATCTGATAAATTCTCACTCAAAAGAATCTACTTCACTTTCAATTAGCAAAAATCACAGAAAAAGAGTCTTACGAGAGAAAAACACTTTTTCCTCGAATTGCGCACCACCTCCACCACCAATCTCCACAAAAAGATCCGAAAGAGCACAAGAATCAGGAAATGGTCTCAAGAATCTAAAGATTTGAATCAAAATAGCATAAAATCCAAATTGGAGACCGTGGGAAAGTTGCAAAGTTGACTCACGAAATAGAGCGCGCTGATTGGCGGAGCACCAAAACGAGCCAGGATAAGCCAGGGCTCAAGCGAAAAATTGCCTAAATCAGCTTCATTTCTTCTCCAACAAAAAGAGAATCACCCAGAGCCCTTTATAAAGAGAAAACCACTGGATTCCGCTAGAATCAGACGCGTCAAAACCAACCGATTCCTGCGGGAACTGAGTCACCGGGTCCATCTTGATCGCCGATTTGATCTTCCTCCAGTAGTCTGGCTCGTCGATCGGGTTTTTGGTGATTCCGGCTTCCTCTCGGAGTCTTTCGAGCTCTTCAGCGTCGTGAATCTGTGCGTCTTGTGCGTCTCGGGTCATTTCTAGAGTCTGAAGAAACGCCTTTGTTAGCAAAGAGTCGAAATTTTGGTTTTGGCTAGTTTTGTTTGGAGGAGCGCAAGGAAAATTTGAAAAGAAAGAGCGAAATTTTAAAAAGAAGCACGAGAAAAAGAGTCTAAATTAAGATCCGGAAGGGAAGAATCTTTTTTTTTTGATTCTCTGGTTTTGACGCGTCTGATTCTAGCGGAATCCAGTGGTTTTTCTCTTTATAAAGGGCTCTGGGTGATTCTCTTTTTGTTGGAGAAGAAATGAAGCTGATTTAGGCAATTTTTCGCTTGAGCCCTGGCTTATCCTGGCTCGTTTTGGTGCTCCGCCAATCAGCGCGCTCTATTTCGTGAGTCAACTTTGCAACTTTCCCACGGTCTCCAATTTGGATTTTATGCTATTTTGATTCAAATCTTTAGATTCTTGAGACCATTTCCTGATTCTTTTCAAGCTCTGATAGTTTAGACATCGAGGAATTCAAAAACACGCTCATTTTAAAGGATTACGAAAATCTAATAAACTTAAATATAATTGAGATTTTTAAAGAGGCTTATCTCGAGGTGAAGGAAATCTCACAAAGTGATCAGGGGATATTCAAAATGTTAGTGAGGTCAATGAGAGAGATGACATTTTTGAGGAAACTTCATTAGAGGATCTCGATATCGTAGCGGGTTCGTCAGCAATTTTACCTTCTAGAAATCAAACTGTTCGTCAGATTGAATTTTCGGGCGACTTAACATCATATGACAAACTTGATATAAGTGCAAATAGAAACGCCAAACGCGCAAGGGGAAGCTCTGGAGAATTGTCGGATAACCAAGTTTCTAAAAAGCCTTTTTCTCATTCAAAACCAGTCAATGCCCCGAGTCAAACAGTAAAAATTCGACAACAAATTGATAAAACTATTTTGATGGACTCCATCGCGCTTTGGGATTCCGAGTTACGCTGAGAGTCTAGCCTCCTGGCCACGATTCTTATTGGTCCTTTTTCTATTTTCAGGGCTTCGAGTAGATTGGAGATGGTTTCGCATTCGTCCAGCTTGACGCTTGGGTCCTCAGTCGTGCCCGCTGAGTCTGCTTTTAGAAGCTTCGTGGGCTCTCCATTGGCTTAAATGGATATGGCTTTGATTCGAGTTGCCAAGAATCCGCGAGGTCGGTTTCTGCTTCTGCAATTTCGTCTGCGATGATGGAGAGTATGAAACCAGGCTCGTTGCTCCTGTGAGCGACCCAGAGTGATTCTTTTCCTGATGGCGCCGTGAAAATGATCTGGGCCCACGAGGAGAGCTCTGCGAAATTGAATCTCGCTTTTGAAGGAGTCTGCAGATCGAACATCAGCCTGTGATTCGAGAGAGGCTCGTTTGCATCCGAGGGGACATAAAGTCTGACGAGTCTCGTGGCAATCTTTTGCTCCGCCATTGCAGTGCGGGAAATTCTTCTCCAATTTATCTGACTCATTAAGAGCAGAGTGTTTCTTTAAGTGGATCAAAGCCTATCCTAAATTTGGAAGGTGTTCGGGGTAGCCCGTTCCTAAAAGATTCTGAGGAGAAGAGATCCTTTCCTGGAGATTTCCTCATTGAGGGTTTGGAGTCTTCTTTGGGAGTTCTCGATTGGGCGTGTTGGATCCGAGTCCAAAGCCACTCCCCATTTGGGGCCGAATTCCAGAGCTGCCTTGACGAAGGCCTCCTCGATCATGTCTAAATGAGAGGGTCAGCAAGTCTAGGGCTTCGAGGAAGAAACAGGAATTCCGAATTTCTAAGAAGAGGGTTTCTCTGAATCTAAGAAGCCTGAAGCTGATTGGCTCGGCTCGGCGCGCCGCTGCGGCCGCTTACTGAGTAAGAATCCCAGAGCCTTCGAGGCGTAATTGCCTGAGGCTGAATGATTTTATAGTCCGTGGACTTTTAGAGGTGAAATAAGCAGGTAGCATCGATTGATGGTCTACCTAGAGTCTTTTGATTCAGCTTGGAGTCTTATTGGTAATGCTTCTGCTGAGAAAAAGGCTCTATTTAAAATTCCTCGTTTTAGGTTTTAGCTGTAGGCTAAGAACCTTTCGAATGAACCTGCGTGATTCCGGGGCACCCGCTCGAAACCAGGTGCTCTCGGGCGCCTTTGACACCTTCCGCTGCCTCCTGGGAATCCCTGCCTCTGGTTACTAGGCTTCCTGCCGCGTTCTATTTCTAGCGGGCTGCTAATCCCTTGTCCTAGATTCATCATGTAATCCCTGCCTTACTTCGTTAAAAAATTCTCGTTTTTGTTTTCCAAAATAATACCAATCTGGCAACCTTCAAAATCAAGCATTTCTGCTTCATTCATTAATTCGTTTGTTCTTGTTTTTGGAAGTCGAACAGAGCTTTGCGTTATTTCTGAGTCCATCAAAATAGTTTTATCAATTTGTTGTCGAATTTTTACTGTTTGACTCGGGGCATTGACTGGTTTTGAATGAGAAAAAGGCTTTTTAGAAACTTGGTTATCCGACAATTCTCCAGAGCTTCCCCTTGCGCGTTTGGCGTTTCTATTTGCACTTATATCAAGTTTGTCATATGATGTTAAGTCGCCCGAAAATTCAATCTGACGAACAGTTAGGGTTAGGGTTAGGGTTAGGGTTAGGGTTAGGGTTAGGGTTAGGGTTGGTTAGGGTTAGGGTTAGGGTTAGGGTTAGGGTTAGGGTTAGGGTTAGGGTTAGGGTTAGGGTTAGGGGTTAGGGTTAGGGTGAGGGTTAGGGTTAGGTTAGGGTTAGGGTTAGGGTTAGGGTTAGGTTAGGGTTAGGGTTAGGGTTAGGGTTAGGGTTAGGGTTAGGGTTAGGGTTAGGGTTAGGGTTAGGGTTAGGGTTAGGGTTAGGGTTAGGGTTAGGGTTAGGGTTAGGGGGTTAGGGTTAGGGTTAGGGTTAGGGTTAGGGTTAGGGTTAGGGTTAGGGTTAGGGTTAGGGTTAGGGTTAGGGTTAGGGTTAGGGTTAGGGGGTTAGGGTTAGGGTTAGGGTTAGGGTTAGGGTTAGGGTTAGGGTTAGGGTTAGGGTTAGGGTTAGGGTTAGGGTTAGGGTTAGGGTTAGGGTTAGGGTTAGGGTTAGGGTTAGGGTTAGGGTTAGGGTTAGGGTTAGGGTTAGGGTTAGGGTTAGGGGTTAGGGTTAGGGTTAGGGTTAGGGTTAGGGTTAGGGTTAGGGTTAGGGTTAGGGTTAGGGTTAGGGTTAGGGTTAGGGTTAGGGTTAGGGTTAGGGTTAGGGTTAGGGTTAGGGTTAGGGTTAGGGTTAGGGTTAGGGTTAGGGTTAGGGTTAGGGTTAGGGTTAGGGTTAGGGTTAGGGTTAGGGTTAGGGTTAGGGTTAGGGTTAGGGTTAGGGTTAGGGTTAGGGTTAGGGTTAGGGTTAGGGTTAGGGTTAGGGTTAGGGTTAGGGGGTTAGGGTTAGGGTTAGGGTTAGGGTTAGGGTTAGGGTTAGGGTTAGGGTTAGGGTTAGGGTTAGGGTTAGGGTTAGGGTTAGGGTTAGGGTTAGGGTTAGGGTTAGGGTTAGGGTTAGGGTTAGGGTTAGGGTTAGGTTAGGGTTAGGGTTAGGGTTAGGGTTAGGGTTAGGGTTAGGGTTAGGGTTAGGGTTAGGGTTAGGGTTAGGGTTAGGGTTAGGGTTAGGGTTAGGGTTAGGGTTAGGGTTAGGGTTAGGGTTAGGGTTAGGGTTAGGGTTAGGGTTAGGGTTAGGGTTAGGGTTAGGGTTAGGGTTAGGGTTAGGGTTAGGGTTAGGGTTAGGGTTAGGGTTAGGGTTAGGGTTAGGGTTAGGGTTAGGGTTAGGGTTAGGGTTAGGGTTAGGGTTAGGGTTAGGGTTAGGGTTAGGGTTAGGGTTAGGGTTAGGGTTAGGGTTAGGGTTAGGGTTAGGGTTAGGGTTAGGGTTAGGGTTAGGGTTAGGGTTAGGGTTAGGGTTAGGGTTAGGGTTAGGGTTAGGGTTAGGGTTAGGGTTAGGGTTAGGGTTAGGGTTAGGGTTAGGGTTAGGGTTAGGGTTAGGGTTAGGGTTAGGGTTAGGGTTAGGGTTAGGGTTAGGGTTAGGGTTAGGGTTAGGGTTAGGGTTAGGGTTAGGGTTAGGGTTAGGGTTAGGGTTAGGGTTAGGGTTAGGGTTAGGGTTTAGGGTTAGGGTTAGGGTTAGGGTTAGGGTTAGGGTTAGGGTTAGGGTTAGGGTTAGGGTTAGGGTTAGGGTTAGGGTTAGGGTTAGGGTTAGGGTTAGGGTTAGGGTTAGGGTTAGGGTTAGGGTTAGGGTTAGGG